TGTTCCGAGAATCTGACTAATTCTTGCTCAATGCAGAGGTCAAGAATCGATCGAGACTTCACGGCTTGTTGCGTGTGACGTGGTTGATCAAGGGTTTCCAACTAGAAAATTCAGATGTTTCGGGTTAGGCTAGATTTGCGAATGTGCTACAGCCGAATGGCAATCTCTGTCTATTGCAATCAAAAGCCCATTTTAAAAAAGGATTGAAAACTGATTTATCCTGCCCTCATTCGCATACAATCTGCTCTTTGCCCTGGTAAGCACAAGGTTTCACCATTTTTACAGCACTCATCATTTGACCGTGCAAACCTGCCAGCTGAAAATTCACCCTACGGGTGCATAAAGGTTACTTTGACTTGACTTGACTAGAGCTCCCCGGACAACTTGCCTGGAGTTGTTTCTTATCACTGAGTCAAACAATCTACTCAAATCGGTCCTGACCGGAAGTAACAATTCCAGTTTGTTCGTATGTCATCCTCGGAAATGATGAATCACTTTCTGGCTGAACAGTTTCAGATAACCGATGATAGACTCTCTGTTTATACTAAAATCGAAATCTCCTTAACAGAACAAACAGATATAATCTATACGGCTAATATTCCTCTTTGATTGCACCCGACTGTATGATATGCTGCTTGCTCCACCAACTCCACGATGTACCTTTTGATTTTTCACCACCAGAAAATCAAACAAGACAGAACCGATTGTTCAACCACTTCGAAATTTACCTTTCAACCCCTCAAATTCGAAATCTGTTGTCGGTTCACTGTCTTGATGATCAAGAGTACTGTCGGCAGCTCCAGTTGCCATGCGAAAAATATGATGGCACCTCATTTGGAATGGGTACAATGGATTGACTTATATTATCTTCAAATTTGATTTGCGACGTGTATGTCTGTACACGGAACAGATAACACAAATTGTCATGGAGGTCCCCAAGACCCACTCAGAAACGATCTATGTGTTCTGAGAAGATGAGCCACTTGACAGATTTCCTAAAAATTTTCAGAATATGTACAAGATTTATGGCCAAAAATGGTGCAAAATTGGCCGGTGTCCGCTCAGGGGGTGCTCTGATGTCTTGCTGTTTAATAGCCGGCCCGCGAGGAGCTCTGCCGAGGATGCTAAAGAAGTCGAAATCTTTCCCCATTACAGGTGGGTGGATGAGGCAAATCCTAAGCGTCATGGTGAACTCTTTCTGAATGGGAATCGGCAGACCTCACTATAAAATTACTATTTCAGCCACCACTGAGATCAGGGCATCAACCAACGATGGGATGGATTGTTTCCCTCATTAAGTCAAAATAACTAAATTATCCCAGTTTCATGTTTATTCATCAATAACTAATCATTTCCAGAGTTTTCCCGGAAACCGAGGAAGTTTTCCAAGTCATTCGGTCCAATTATGCAAAATGGCATGAAGTGAGAAAATTAGTTCGTCCATTTCTTGATTCCGTATGCATTCATAAATTATTTCACCACCATTACCACACAAACATTGACCTTCTGTGACGAACACTGACTAAGACGCCGTTTACAGCGCCAGATACCAGATCAATATATACACAGTATAACGACAGCTGATCATCGATTAGCATATGTTTCGGCACTCATTCGAAACCCAGAAAAGAACCGGCTCAAACAAGGCGAAAGAAGAAGTAAAGAAACTCACCGATTTTTGGTGAAGGTCGTTCCCATCGCCCTGTTCGTGCTGTGTGGGTTCGACAGAATAGAGTCATTTAATGTACATCTAAACGAATTTTTGTGGTTGATAGAAACAGGGATTAGTAGGACTGTTTTGTAACTTGCATTTTTCGAAAATCCACAAAAGACATACAGATAATCTGAGGTACGCTGAGTGCGTGTTATAAATGCTGTTCTGACTTTCGGATAACCGTATCTATCAACTGATTACTTGTCAGTAGTTAGTCACGATAAAGTCCATCACTGTTACGCACAGTTACCTAGAGTATGAGCTCCGCTGATGAACTATATAACGCGCTGTATGCACCGTTTACCAAGCAGCTGAGGGAGACAGAGATACAAACTGCCTCCACAATTCAAAAATGATGGCCTAAGGATAAAATCAGCTGACCACAGGATCGTAGGAACTTTGGATGGACATATTAGAATGAGGTTCAATAGAAATTGGATAAACTCTACAGATCACCCGGCTAGTGATCTAGCTCGGTAAGCTGGCATAATGTGATCTTCTGGGAATTTTTTCTGAGTGCGAAACGATTATTCTAATTCTCTTTATTACTACGGTACCCGGAATACGATAATCACTAGAGACTACCATAGACATTTACACCTTCTCCGTTGGGACTAAAATTATTTTTGTACCCCTGGAGGGATTTAGACCGCGAACTTTCGGTTCGAGAGTCAAAATCCTTATACCCTAGAGCACATAGTCACACCAAAGGCTGATAATGTGGCACATTCTAGCCACAGTGGTACCGGTCAGTATCCATGTTCGATTCTTGTCCGCCCCGTTCGCTCCAAGCATTTCGTTTAGGAGTTCAACCTTCTACGACTCAACAGCCGTCCAAGCAACTGGTCTCACATGTCAATAGATGATGGCAATGGCAAATCGTTTATGTCCACATTTGATCTTCCGGAAATAATAAAACCCCAAAGCATGTGAATGCCTGACTTTGGTCTACGCAATATCCCCCCCCCCACCCCCGAAACACGGTCCTTTGAAGTTTCAATATCAAA